GGCCCCTCCATGCCCTGACGGTGGGGCCTGCCCAGCCCATGACCCGGGGACCCAGTCGCCCTCTCGCCCTCTGCCCCCCAGCTCTTGGACCTGGGGAACCTTAGCTCACCTCTCGGACCTCCCCATATAGAGTTAGGAGGGGCCAGCACAAAGGGGACACAAGCCAAGTCTACCAGCCCAGCAGCCCACCTCTATTTCCCTCTCCCTTTGGGGAACTTGCTTTCCTCATTCCCGGTCCACGTGGTCTCCCGTTGGACGTGTGACTCAGGCCTGACATCCCCTAGCCAGCCTCGGTGATTGGTTAAGGGTGGACACATGACTCAAGCGGAGCCAATGAGAGAGCCTCACCCCTGGGACCTGGAGTGACTGGGGTTGCACAGCTGGTGGAACCTAAGGCAGGCGCAGTGAGGGTGGGAACAACGTGGGGGTGCAAGTCGGCCTCCACCAGGGGAAGGGTTGGCAGAGTGACATCTCGACAGAGACAGGCACGGGTTTCTGAGACCATCACTTTAGGCCCTGGACCCGGCCATGTTACCCCTGACTTCGCCGTGACACGAAAGGAGGCAGATCTGGGCCCAGCCTGCGTGGGGTGCCCGGGGCAGCAGCTCACCTGGTCCCCCTCGAAGTCACAGAGCGCCTCCACGGGGATGGGCTTGAGCGGCGTCTCCCGGCGGTACCGGAGCGGCACCACCTGCTGCCCTCGCCTCTGCAGTCCCCGCACCACGTCCTCGTACTTGTCCAGGGCCTTTTCCTGGTCCTGCAGGGAGCGGGAGCGGGCAGGTGAGACCGACAGCCTCCCCTGGTGGGAGGGGCCGAGCGGGGGCTGGGGACCAGGGGCCCCGGTCGGTGGGTGGAAGCTGTGGAGGGGCCCGCCGGGGTGGAGAGAGGGCCCCCCGGGCCAGTAAGGCTCCCGGGCCGTGGCTCACATCCAACTCCCGCAGCAGCAGCTCTATCTGGTAACGGTCCTTGAAGTCCGGGCTGTATTTCTGGTTCAGGTCCGAGTCCACTTTGCGCAGCAGCTCCTGGGCGTCCTTCATGTCTTTGTGGAACTAGGGGGACCAGGTGGCCCGTCACCGACAGGAAACCAGGGACTTCTGGCTGCGGCTGCGGTTCATCCCTTCCCACCCCAGGCGGGGAGGGGGGCTCTCCTGCCCACCCAGATGGGACCTTGTGCTCTGCTTGGGGACACGCCCACCCGACCCGGCCAGCTCCCCTGGGGACTCCAGCAGGAAGAAGCCAGGTCCATTCCCACCAATCCAGGACAGGCCACCTCTATGACATATTAAGTTTTCCTGTATATAACAGTAAGTTGTGAGACTACTTCTATTCCGTCTCTCTCTGTGCCAGACCACCCTGACTTCATACTACACTTCCATCCTAAGTTGTCTTGATACATGCCTCTCCTTTTTGTTCTAGAAAATTCTCTTGCTCATTCTTCAGTTCATCAAGTCTTGAGTCACTGTCAGCTGTCCCCTTGGGCTGAACACGTGGGCTGCAGCCACAAACAGGTCTTGAATTTCACAGTGTGGCTCAGGCAGCGGACCAGGAGTCACACGCTGTCACCCATATCCAACCTTCCCCAGACACCCCCTCATAAGAATCCCCCACAGCTTGTTAAAAACACACGTTCCAGCTGGGTATGGTGGCTCACACCTGTAATCCCAGCACTTTAGGAGGCAGAGGCGAGAAGATTGCCTGAGCTCAGGAGTTCAAGACCAGCCTGAGCAACATGGTGAGACCCTGTCTCTACAATAAATAAAAAAATCAGCTGAGCCGGGGTCGGTGGCTCAGCCTGTAATCTCACACCTTGGGAGGCTGAGGTGGGTGGATTGCTTAAGCCTGTGGGTTCGAGACCCACCTGGGCAACTTGGTGAGACTTCATCTCTACAATAAATCAAAAAAATTAGCTGGGTGTTGTAGCACACACCTGTAATTCAGCTACTTGGAAGGCTGAGGCGGAAGGATTCCCGGAGCCCAGCAGATTGAGGCTGCGGTGAACGGGAGCAGCCATTGCACTCCAGTCTGGGCGACAGAGTGAGACTCCAACTCAAAAAAAAAAACAAAAAAACAGCTGGGCATGGTGACACGCGCCTGTAGTTCCAGCTACTTGGATGGTTGAGGCAGAAGGATTGCCTGAGCCCAGCAGATTGAGGCTGCAATGGCTATGAGTATGCCACTACACTCCAGCCTGGGCAACAGAGTGAGACTCCGACTCAAAACAAAAACAAAAACAAGGATGCATACAGTAAACAGTGACTGGACAAACACAGTGTGGTCTGTCCACACAGTGGGCTACGACACAGTCATGAAAAGGAGTGAAGCCCTGACAACGTGGATGGACCTGACAAGAGATTGAGTGAGAGAAGCCAGACACAGAGTGTCACCTGCTGTAAGAGCCGCTAACTAATTCCCCACATCCATTCTAGATACGAATCATCTAGAACAGGCAAAACCAGAGACAGCAAGCAGATTAGAGGTGACCAAGCTGGCAAAAGGGATCAGGGGGAGAGACTGCTGATGGGTACAGAGTTTCTGTTTGAGGTGGTGGGAAAGTTCTAGAAATAGATGGTGATGACAGTTGCACAATATTGTGCATGTAATGAATTCCACTGAATTGTACACTTAACAATGGCAGGTGGTTTTTGTTTGTTTGTTTTAGAGACAGGATCTTGCTTTGTTGCCCAGGCTGGGGTATGGTGGCATGATCATAAGTCCCTGCAGCCCTGGCCTCCTGAGCTCAAGCGATCCTCCCTCTTCAGCCTCCTGAGTAGCTGAGACTACAGGCGCACACCACCATGCCTGGTTAATTTTTACATTTTTTGGTAGAGGTCTCTCTATATTGCCCAGGCTGGTCTCAAACTCCTGGGCTCCAGCTATCCAACTGCCTCAGTGTGAGTTGTGGCACCCTGCCAGATTGTATGCTATATATATTTTACCAACACAAAAAACCCATACACCTATTCCTGGGCTCCGTGTGACCTGGTAAATGATACCGTCTGGCCCCGGTCCCCAGGGAAGATGTGCAGGGACTCTGCAGGCTCAGTAGACGCTGTGGACATCATCCCACAGCACCCAGCCAGGCTCCTGGACCAAGTGGCACAAAGCCATGAGCGAGCCCAACAGGTACCAAGCACTCTCACAAGAGAGTGCCCAGCACAAGTGTGCTCCAGGACGCAGGGGCACCTGGTGGAAGTCTTCCATGTACTTCAAGTGGCTTTCTTCACAGATGAGCAAGTTGAGGTACTCCTTCCAGTCCGCGTGCACAGCCTCCATGTGCGCCTGCCAGGAGAAGGGGCAGTTCACTGTTGGCCAGGTGCTAGGGGTGCCAAGGGGGAGACTGGTGGGCCACCAGACTGGAGAACGGGTGGGGGGAAAGGAGGCATCTGCCCAGTGTGCCTTCCACCGAAGAGGCACGTCGAGGAGCCAAGCAGGGCTGCCATGTACAGGTGCTCTGGTTGTATAGTGCACAAGGGCGAGTGGAGTTGTGTCTGCCCAAAGTGATGCCTTTAAAAAATTCTCATGGCCAGGTGCGGTGGCTCACGCCTGTAATCCCAGCACTCTGGGAGGCAGAGGCGAGAGGATTGCCTGAGACCAGGGGTTCAAGACCAGCCTAGGCAACTTGCTGAGACCTCGTCTCTACAATAAATCCAAAAATTAGCTGGGCGTGGTGGCGCACACCTGTAGTTCCAGCTACTTGGAAGGCTGAGGCAGAAAGATTGGCTGAGGTGGAAGGATCGCCTGAGCCCAGCAGGTCAAGGCTGCGGTGGCCGTGAGCGTGCCACTGCACTCCAGCCTGGGCGATAGAGTGAGGCTCTGACTCAAAAAAAAAAAAAAATTTCATGAGGGCATTGTAGGGGTTAAACAGTATCTCCACTAGACCTAGAACTCGGAATGTAACTTAATTTGGAAATTGGGTCTTTGCAGACATAATCAGTTAAGGATGTCGGGGTGAACTCATCCTGGAATTAGGGTGGGCCCTAGATACAATGACTGGTGTCCTTATAAGAAGAGGAGAGGACACAGACGCACGGAGGCCACATGAAGGTGGAGGCAGAGACTGGAGTGAGCAGCCACAAGCCATGGACTGCTGAGGCCATTAGGAGTGGGGAGAGGCAGGGAAGGATTCCCCGAGCCTTCAGGAGAGCGAGGCCCTGGCAACTTGACCTCAGCTTCTGGCCTCCAGAACTGGGAGAGAACCAATTGCTGTTGCTTAAAGCCACCGATTTTGTGGTCCTCTCTTTTGCATGCCTGGGAGACTAATCCAGGCCCCACGCGGACTGCGGACGCCCCAGGGCAGAGGGCAGATGTGGCGAGGTCCACACAGACAGACACAGGAGGCAGCTGGTGGGGACCGCCCAAAAGCCAGCCCAGAGGAGGCGTCCCATCTGGAGTCACACGCACCTCAATGGAGTTCTTCCCGGGGTGCTCAGCTGCGAGCAGCTGGTCACCCTCGCTGTGCAGCTTATTGATCCTCGCCTCCTTGGCCTCCAGGTTCCGATTAATGAAATTCTGCAGCAGGGGCAGTGGCGGGGACTCAGCGCCTCTCCCCCTCCCCGCCTCCCCCAGGCTGCGTGCCCTCCCAGCCCCAGCGCCCACCTCATACTGGCGCCGGCGGCTAGGGTAGTCGAGGTTGCGGTCGCTCCAGTCGTACTGCATGCGGCCGCGGGCCTGCTGGTCCAGCCAGTACAGTTCGTTGGTGCAGCGCTGCATATAGTCTTGCAGGGAGCTCAGGTGCTGCTGCCGTGCCTGGGATGCTGCCTGTGGGTAGGTGGGCGGGTGGGGTCCTCATCACAAACAGGCCTCCCACCCCACCTCCTGCAGAGCCCAGCTCCCCTGGCCTGGCGACAAGCCCTGCCCAGCCACTTCCCAGCCAGGCCCCCTCGGAGAACCACCCTCTGAGACTCATTCATTCATTCAGCAAGTGTTCATCAGCATCTACTATGTGCTGGGTACAGCTCCAGGCATTGAGGATACAGCTTTGAATGGAACAGACAAAACCCGCACAGAACTGGCATTTTTGTGGTGCCTCAGTTTACCCATCTGTAAGGAGATAACGACAGAGCTGACCTCATAGGGCACAGAGACTGGCTTAGTGTTGGTGCCCAATAACCATTAGCAGACACAGCTTCCAGTTTTATCTTTTTTTGGATTTAGGGTCTCACTCTGTCGACCAGGCTGGATGGAGTATAGTGGCAGGATTATGGCTCACCACAGCCTTGGCCTCCTGGGCTCAAGCGATCCTTCCACCTCAGCCTCCTGACTAGATGAAACTATAGGCATGCGCCACCGTGCTCAGCTAATATTTTGATGCTTTTGTAGAAATGAGGTCTTGCTATGATGGCCAGGTTGGTGTTGAAATCCTGGGCTCCAACGATCCTCCTGCCTTGGCCTCCCAAACTGCTGGGATTACAGCGCCACTGGCCTGGACCAGTTTTATCTTTATCATCCTCCTCTAACTGCTGGAAGGATGATAGCAACTGCCACCACTGTACATCTGGGGGACAGTGGAAGGGGAAGGAGGAGGGAGGGTGGCATTTCGCTTACATGTGTATAGGCCCCTCCACATGCCAGGACTGCGCTAACGTTCTCCAACATTCACTCACTTAATTCTCAAAGCAACCCTAGGAGACAGGGACACATAGGAGCTCCATTCCACAGATGAAGAAACTGAGGCTTCCAGAGGTTAGGTCACCTGCTGAAGGTCTCACCACCAACACGCAAGGGACGGAGGCAGCCTGGCTCCTAACTGCCACAGGACGCTGCCTCTCTCTTCTCTGAGATGTTTGAAATGTTTGCAGCAGGAAGCCTTGATGCATGGCTTGTTCAACTTTAACCAGAATACATTTTCTTTTTTTTTGAGTTAGAGTCTCTCTCTGTCACCCAGACTGGAGTGCAGCGGCCGCTCCCGGCCACCGCAGCCTTGAGCTGCTGGGCTCCGGCGATCCTTCCGCCTTAGTCTTCCAAGTAGCTGGAACTACAGGTGTGCGCTACCACGCCCGGCTAATTTTTGATTTATTGTAGAGATGAGGTCTCGCCAAGTTGCCCAGGTGGGTCACGAACAGAATACATTCTTTAAAGGTTTGGGAAAGGGAACTCAACAGCTTTTATGTAGAGATCATGTGGCATCGCATGTGGCACACAGCAGGTGCTTAATAAGAAATAAGCAGCACATTGCAGGACAGGCTCTACCCCTGGGGTCTAGTAGGGTTTTCTGTGAGCAAACAGGGAAATTGGGCAGCCTCTTGGGAAGGGCTGGGTGTGTCTCTTTCCACGCCATCCCCTTCCTTCCATCCTGATTGAAGCGCTCACTGCAAGCCCCTCTCTCTCTCTCTTTTTTGTTGTTGTTATTGTTGAGCTGAAGTCTCAGTCTGTCGCCCAGGCTGGAGTGCAGTGGCACGCTCACGGCTACTACAGCCTCGACCTGCTGGACTCAGGTGATTCTTCCACCTCCGCCTTCCAAGTAGCTGTAACCATAGGTACGTACCACCATACCTGGCTAACTTTTTGATTTATTATAGAGTCAAAGTCTCACAAAGTTGCCCAGGCTGGTCTCAAACCCCTGGACTGAGGCAATCCTCTCTCCTCTGCCTCCCAAATTGCTGGGATTACAGGTATGAACCACTGTGCCTGGCTTGTTTTCTTCTGTTGCCCAGGCTGGAGTGCAGTGGCACAATCATAGCTCACTGCAGCCTCCAACTCCTGGGCTCAAGTGATCCTCCTGCCTCAGCCTCCCAAGGAGCTGGGACTACAGGCACCACCACACTCAGCTAACTTTTTAAAAATTTTTTGTAGGGATGGAGGCCTCGCTATGTTGCCCAAGCTGGTCTCTAACTCCTGGCCTCAAGTGATCCTCCCATCTTAGTCTCCCAAAGTGCTGGGATTTCAGACGTGAGCCACCATGCCCAGCGTGTGTCATTTTTAAAAGAATAAATTCTTAGTCGGGCTCGGTGGCTCAGCCTGTCATCTGCGCTTTGGTAGGCTGAGGTGAGTGGATTGCCTGAGCCCGCGGGTTCGAGACCCGCCTGGGCAACTTGGCAAGACTCATAAACTAAAAAAAAGCATAAATTCTTATCCCCACACCCAAGCTTCCCATCCCGTGAGACAACAGCCTCTTCCCCGGGAAGTTTCTCACCAGCAGTTTCTGGTACTTGGCCTGGAGTTCGCTGTTCTGCTCCTGAGGACAGAGCCAGGGACATAGGTCAGGGCCAGGACAGAGGTGTGGCTCCTCTGCCCTGGGCCTCCCACCGCCCTCACACCCTACCTTCTCGCCGTCCTTGGCCAGGTGGAGTCCGATGGCCTTGACCTCGTTGTGGAAGATGTTGTGCTCCTCTACCTGGTGGTCTACCAGAGGCAGGTCTGTCCCAAAGCTCTGGCTGCTCAGCTTGTCCTGGCCAGGCAACACGTAGGGATGGGTGGGGCTTGTAGCCCACCCAGGAGCACCTCTGCCCTGGGCAGCAGGACGGGCGTGCACGGGGCTCTGGAGAGCTTCAGGAGATGTCGGCGACACCTCCACCCCGACACTCCCCTTGCCGAATGGAAACGTGTCCTCCCCGGTAATCGCACAGCGGCCTCAGAGGCCCCTGTGGCTTCTTTCCCCATTTAGGGCCGCACCACTAAAATTGCGGGAGCTGAGACACGAACCTGGGACGCCTGGCTGCAGTGGCCGTGTGCTTCTGTGTGGTGAAGCCGGGCTGGCAAGGGCGGTAGCAGGCCAGAAGTCTGGACACTCCCCCCGCCCACCCACAAAGCCCCACCAAGACCCCAGGGGCCAGGGTCAGAGGGCGAGCCGCGAGGCGTGGCTGATGGGCACAAGAGTCCAAATCTCCACCACCTCCGCTGGACTCGGCACCGCACCTCTCTGAGCCTCATTTTTTTCATCAGAAAAGTGGGGCCACGACCCCTCCCCGATGGGACCGTGGCGCCTATTAAACGGCGAGGCTCTCCCTGCAGACACAGCCCCTCCCTAGTGGTGGCCCAGAGCCCCGCCAGGCCATACCAGCTTCTCATCCACCAGTACCGCCCAGTTGATCTGTGGGTCGACCTCTTTCGCAGCCAGGTTGTAGATCTGCTTATGCTTCCCGCGCAGGTTGGTCACACGCTCCTTCAGCTGACGGATGCTGAGCGGGGACAGAGACCACCGTGAGCAGGGCCTCCCACCCGACCCTGGGCTCAGCGGCCTGGAGGGGCAGGTGACAGAGGTCATGGGCTCCAGAATGTCACTGCCTCCTCCTGTCCACGTTCTCTCCAACTTCTTCCGTCAGTGTTTCCTGACAGCCTACTGTGTGCCCAGAAGGTTCTGGAAGAAACAGGCCCATTGCTCTCTGGAGCCCACCACCCAGCAGGGGCCACTGCAGTGCTGTATGTGAAGCTGGGGACAAGTGTGGGGGGTTGTGGTACCCCAAGAGACCCCCACCCTGTCAGGGGACAGCAGATCAAGGGGACCACGCGCTCGAGAGCTCAGGCCAGACGGCCTGGTGGCCACATTATGACCAGAACAAGGGATTCCAATGCCCCGAGCCTCAGTTTCCCCAATGTGATGCCTTTGGTTCGTGCGTGGCACTGAGTCGGCCCTTGACAAGCTCTGACTCGGGCTCCGGGATGCTGAGCGTTCACTGTCCTCCCACCCCGCCCTACACGGTTCCCTTGGGACCGGAAGCAGGGGACGTACTCCTCAGCGATCATGTCCCCCTGGGGATGCCGCATGTGCTTGGCGATGGCCGCGTCTGCCTCCAGCACGTACAGCAGCTTCTCTGAATCCGACACCTTCTGCAGGGCCACATCCCGGTGCTCGGGCTGCTGGCCCTCCTGCAGCCGGACCAGGTCCTGTGAGGGACCCAAGAGAGAGGAGGCAGGGAGTGGGGACTCAGAGTGGGCACTGTGGTGGCAGGGGCAGGAGGAAGAGGGCCCCGTCGGGCCTGCCCCCGTGCCCCCAGCAACAAAGTCCAACTAAGTTGTGAACACAGCCCAGGCCAGGAGACTGCCAGGAAGGCAAATCAACAGGTGCGCCTTGCAGAGGTGATGGCAGCTTCCTCCAGGCTGGTATTTACAAGGGAGGCACACCAGAGATGAAGCAGAGGGGACCCAAAGGGAAGAGCGTTCTGGGCAGAGGGAACGGCCTGTGCAAATGTCCTGAGGCAGGAGTGAGCAGGCCAAGACTGAGGCGCAGTGAGAAGGCGCTAGAAGACCGGGTGGGAGAGGAGACAGGAGAGCAGGGCCAGGCCAGAGCACAGTGCAGCCCCAAGCAGGGGTTCCACACGGCCACTGAGGGATAAAGGTGATGCCTCTGGGCTCTGTAGGGAGAAGAGGGAGCTAGGAGGGTAGTGGCCAGGTAAGAGCAATAGAGGCACCAGAGAGAACAGCGTGAGGGATGCTTGGGAGGTGCCATCAGCAGGTGCTGATGGGGTAGGGTCTCTTTAGGGAAAAGCAAGGAACAGCAGTTGGGATAGTAGATGTCTTTCTTCCTTTTTTTTTTTTAAGAGACAGGGTCTCACTCTGTTGCCCAGGCTCGAGTGAAGTGGTGTGATCATAGCTCATAGCAGCCTCGGACTCCTGGGTTCAAGCAATCTTCCCACCTCAGCCTCCCAAGTGCATACCACCATGCCCAGCTCAATTTTATTTGTAGAGACAGGTCTTACTATGTTGCCCAGGCTGGTCTCGAACTCCTGGGCTCAAGCAATCCTCCCACCTCAGCCTCCCAAAGTGCTAGGATTACAGGCGTGAGACACCGCATCTGGCCAAGATAGCAGGTTTTTAAACACAGCCTGGTAATTCCCTCCAACACTTGAGAAGCCTGGCAATGTGTTTACACGATGCTAGGCCTGGCAATGAGTCCCCAAGGGACACCCCCATCCTGCAGGGGAGGTGATGACATGACAGTGAGGTGGCCAAGGGCAGGCCAGGGCTGACACTGGGACACCCAGAGGCCACTAGTCCCTTCCCCTTGCTGGGTCTCAGTGGCCCTGTCTCTACAAAAGGAAAACCCCCATGTCAGAAGAGGCATCGTGAGCTGAGAAACATGCCTGGCATGGGGATGGAGCTACTGACCCTACTGTGTTGGGAAAGTGCCCAGTGGAGCCCCGGGGAGCCCACCCATGGGAAACATCCCAACGGGCCAGCCAGCCAGCCAGACAGAAAGCAGAGGCCACCTGGAACAGGGGTGGGACCGGGCATAACAGTAAAGGGGCACAAGAGATCTTCCAGGGGAGGAAAATGTTCTGATGTGGACTTGTGGGAACAATGTCACCACGTGCTCAAGTCACCAAAAGTCATTGAATCACTCATTTGAAATGGGGGCATTTTTGGGTATATAAACTATGCCTGGATAAAGTTGTTAGAAAAAAAAGATGCTGGGCTCACGCTGGCTCTCACGACAAAATGTTACGCTTCTTGGCCCGGGTGGAATTTTATCCACTCTGTCAACACCAGCTGATCTGAGCAGTGGATCAAAGATCAGTTCTGCAGAGGGGGAAGTGGCTTAATCATTGCCTAATTCATGCAGGGGCTGGTGGGAACTCGCACTCTCTCAAACCCAGGCTGAGGAAGAGAGGGAACACTCAGGTAGGGGAGGTAGGTGCTCCAGGGTTCAAAGTCATGGGAGACCGATCAGTGGTGGGAGGTTGGCACAGGGACATCGATTGGGAAGATGGTCAGGAAGCTTTCTGGGAAACCCTGGATGGTGGTCCTGGGGCTGCCTACTCGTGGGGGAGGTGAGCCCCTCCAATGTGGACACGTCTGTAAGCTTTTGTAAGTTGGACCTCAATAAAAATGTTTTTAAAAATCACAGGTCATCAAATAAACTTTTTTTATCCCTGAAAAAAAAAATCATAGGTGACTCACGCCTGTAATCCCAGCACTTTGGGAGGCCAAGGCGGGAGGACTGCTTGAGCCCAGGAGGTCAAGGCTGTGGTGAGCCATGACTGTGCCGCTGCACTCCAGCCTGGGTCACAGAGTGAGACTCCAACTCAAGAAAAAACTGAAAATCCCAGGGACTGGTATATCTAATACATCCCACACGCAGCCGGCATTACTGGCGACCCTGGGTGGTGGGATGTGGGTACTCGCTGTACAATCCTTCCAACTTTTCTTTGTGTTTAACGTTTGGATAAACACGTAGTGGACAATTCTATTTATATGAAATACCCGGAATGAGTAAATTCATAGAGCCAGAGCAGATGAGTGGTCCCCAGGGGGAAGGGGGCAGGGGAGTGATGTTTCCCTGTGGGGGACAAAAATGTCTGGCACTAGAGAGGTGGCAATCAGGCAATACTGTGACTGTCCCAGGGTGCCTTTTTTTTAAGAGAAAAGAAAAAGAAAACCACTGTGGGGTGTTTAGTAGCATCCTTGGCCCCCACCCACTTGGTGCTTCTACAGGCTTGGGTGGTTGTTATCCTCATGTTACAGAAGGGGAAACTGAGGCACAGAGCAAAGAAATTAATTTGTCCAGGGTCTCACTCTGTCATCCAGGCTGGAGTGGAGGGGCAGGATCATAGCGCACTGCAGCCTCAAACTCCTGGGCTCAGGTGATCTTCCTGAATCAGCCTCCTGAGTAGCTGGAACTATAGGCTTGTACCACCACACCTGGTTAATTTATTTTTAATTTTTTGTAAAGTTGGGGTCTTGCTGTGTTGCCCAAGCTAGTCTCAAATTCCTGGCTCAATTGATCCTCCTGCCTTGGCCTCCCAAAGTGCTGGGATTACAGGCTTGAGTCACCACGCCCGACCTCATGATTTTAATTTACTTTATTATCCTTGTTTACTGATCCTGAAATGTTTATAATGAACACATATGTCTTTTGTTATGAGAAGAAAAAGACATTCCCAAAAGCTGTTTTTCATTTAGGAAGGGAGAAAACACCACCCCAGGGGGCACAAGAGGGGAATCATGACAGATCCTAAGAGGAGGGGACTGGAGGGGACAGGTGAGCTGGTGGTGGGCGCGGAGGCAGAAGCAGGGGGCCTGGGAGGGAGAGAGGGGACCCTCAGGCAGGAGGAAGCGGCGAGGCCCACCGTTAGTGCTGGGAGCAGAGTCCCCCCCTGCCACGCCCCGGCCTCCCATCACTGACTGTGCCCACCCAGCCCACCCCTCAGCTCTCTGGGCTGCCTGTGACGGCCCTCGGGGTTGAACCCCTGGGCTGTCAGAGGTAGCTAGGTGGGAGGGGCAGCCACGGCTGGGCCTGGAGACAGCACCCGGGCCGGGTGACCTTGACCTCCCCTGTGACCTCTCGGCCCTCAGCCCCCCACTCCTCTGCACCTGTCTCTCAGCCACCCCTGCATGGGGATGCCGGATGAAATACAAGCCACTCGGGTACCTTGGAGTTTCAGATAAACAGTACACCATTTTGTAGTGTAAGTGTATCCCAGCAGCATGCAGGACACATGGTTCTGAAATCCACGTGACTGGACGAGTATTCTATTGGTTAAACCTGGAAGCCCCACCTCCCATCTCTGTCACCTTCTGCCGTCCCAGCGCCTTCTGAACCTCAGTTTCTCCAGCCATAAAATGGGCAGAAAATTGGCAGGAGCTTAGGCCCCAGGAGTTCCTCCACCCTTGAGGTCGCCACACGCAGGCCGGGGTCTCCTGGCCCCTCGCTGCTGCCTCCTGGGGCCGGATGGCTCTCTTGGGGGGCTATGCACAAGGGGTGTCAAGCAGCCTCCCTGGCTCTACCCGCTAGGCTGAGAGCACCCTCTTCCCAAGGTACCTCCAGATGTGGCCACGAGTTCCCTGGGGTAGACTTGCCTGGGTGAGAACCCAGTGAGACCCAGCCCTGAAAGGCACTCACGCTCTGCATCTTGGCCTCCGTGTCCACAATGTTCCTCTCCACCTGGTCAGCATTCTTCTGCAGCTGCTCGATCAGCTCCGAGAGTTCCCTGTTGGAGATGCTGCACCAGAGGCAAGGACAGGTGAGCCAGGCTTGGGGAGTGGAGCATGGCCTCACCGGCACCCCATCCTCCCGGCTGTCCCTGGCTCCAGGCTCTGGGCAGAAGCATCCCACTGAGCCTTCAAGGGAGCTGGGCTGTCCCCTTGGGATGACATCACCAAAGCCACAGGGACCAGCCTGGGCAACCCAGCAAGACCTTATCTCTACAAAAATTACAAAACTTAGCTCGGTGTGTTAGTGTATACCTGTAATCCCAGCTACTTGGGAGGCTAAAGCTGGAGGATCATTTGAGCCCAGGAAGGTGGGGCTGCAGCCGAGTCATGTGATTGCCCCACTGCACTCAAGCCTGGGCAACAAGAGTGAGACCCTGTCTCTAAACAAAAAAAGTCAGAGACAGGGCAGTGCCCGGCAGGGGTCAGCCCCCACTTGGCCATTCACTCTAACACTTCCATTTGGCCACAATGACAACGCAGGACACATTTTAAAAATTGGGCTATAACTCACATACCGTAAAATCCACCCAGTGAAAGTATACAGTTAGTGTTTTAGTATACTTGGAGTTGTGCACCCATCACCACTACTTCATCCCAGACTTTTTTTTTTTTGAGTCGGGTCTCACTCTGTAGCCCAGGCTGGGGTGCAATGACACGACCACAGCTCACCACAGCCAAGGCTGGACTCAGGCGATCCTTCAGCCTTGGCCTCCCGAGTAGCTGGGACTACAGGTGCACGCTACCACGCCCAGCTGACTTTTTAATTTTTGTAGAGATGTGGTCTTGCTATGTTGCCCAGGCTGGTCTCAAACTTCTGGGCTCAAACGATCCTCCCACCTTGGCCTCCCAAAGTATTGGAGTTGCAGGCGTGAGCCACCGTGCCCGGCCTAATTCCAGACATTTTTATTACCCCAAAACCCCACACCCAAGAGCAGTTACTCCTTGTTCCTCCTCCCCTGGCAACCATTCTTCCATTTCCTGCCTCTCTGGATTTGCTTGTTCTGGACACTTGATCGAAGCAGAATCACATGCTACGTGGCTTTTAGGTCTGGTCTCTCACTCAGCAGAGTGCTTTCTAGGTTCTTCTACAGCATAGCATGTAGCAGAACTACATTTACTTTTCTGGCTGAATAATAATCTACCCGGGCTGCTCCACAATCTGTGCAACCTTCATCAGCTGACGGACGTTTGGTTGTTGCTGCCTTTGGGCCGTTACAAGAATCACGCAGTCATGAGCATTCATGAGCAATTTTTCGTGCGAGCACCCTGATGCTTAATTACCTGAGAGTTTTGATTCAAACGACTCACTTTTCTGTAGTTAAATAAGCATGCTTAAAAAGGTAACTTGCTCTCCCCATTTTATTTTATTTTGGGGGCCATGGTCTCATTCTGTCACCCAGGCTGGAGTGCGGGGGCGCAATCACAGCTCACTGCAGCCTCAGCCTCCCGGTTTCAAGCGATCCTCCTGCCTCAGCCTCCCAAGTAGCTGGGACTACAGGCGCATGCCACCACACCCGACTAATTTTTTTTTTTTTTTTTTTTTTGTAGCGATGAAGTCTCACTGCCCAGTCTGGTCTTGAACTCCTGACCTCAAGCGATCTTCTCACCTCCGCCTCCCAAAGTGCTGGGATTGCAGGTGTGAACCACTTTGCCTGGCCTCTTCTCCCCATTTTAAACAGAAAACCAGAAACCCTCACTATAAATGAAATAATCACCAAAATAAATTCCCCAGAAATAAAACAGTGGCATTTGGTTCTGGCAGGACAGCCACTGTCCGCTTGCCCTGGAGCCTGGGGCTGGGAGGGCTGGGTCATGCCAGGCCCAGCCCTTCACCTGGTGCTCTCAGAGAGCCCGAGTGCGGCCTGTGGCAGAATGGCTTGGTTCCTCACCGTGAGCTCTGCCATCACAGCTGTCTACCGCCCCTGCTGGGAGTCACATCACAGACCACCCTGGGGCACACTGTCATGGAGTTGAGACCTTGGAAGCAGCTGTGGGTTCAGATCTTGGCTCTAATCAGTTGCTCACTGGCTGTGTGACTTGGCCAAGCCACTTTGCCTCTCTGTGCCTGTTCCCCATCAGATGGCACAGAGCAGCAACACCACTCCTGGTGTTCTGGGGAGCGTGAGGCAATGCCAGCAATGGACTAGGGACAGAGCCAGATAAGCGGGAAGTCTCAACAGGGGTTTGTGACTCTAGTGGCCGAGGGGATCTGCCATAGTGCTGTTTTCTTTAAACAAAGGAAGAAACAGAGACCAGAGAGGGAAAGTCGATGTCACTCAGCCTGCCAGCGACAGTCAAGATTAGTGCCTAGTGCCCTCATTTCTTTTCTTTTCTTTTTTTTTTTTGAGTTGGAGTCTCACTCTGTTGCCCAGGCTGGAGTGCAGTGGCACGCTCATGGCCAACTGCAACCTTGACCTGCTGAACTCAGGCGATCCTTCCGCCTTAGCCGTCCAAGAAGCTGGAACTACAGGCATATGCCATCACGCCTGGCTAATTGTTCTTGATTTATTGTAGAGATGAGGTCTCGCTGCCCAGGCGGGTCTCGAACCCGCGGGCTCAGGCAATCCTCTCACTTCAGCCTCCCAAAGGCGCGGGATTACAGGCTGAGCCACCGAGCCCGGCTGTGTCTCCATTTCTAATAAACACCCTTGTGCACAGCAAAGCACTCAGGAGTTTCATTTTGCCTGCACTCATTAAGTACCTACTGTGTGCCAGACCTAGCACCCCACATAGACACAGCCTCACCCTCCCTGATGCCACCCTGGTTCACCCCATAGACCAGGAGGAAATCAGCATTTACAGAAACAATCAGGAGACTGAGGCAGGCAAAGGGGCTGCGAATGCCCAGAGGCACCTGCTGGCTGACTGGGCAAGGTTAGGGGGTGGTCAGTGAAGGCTTCCTGGAGGAGGTGGTGCGGCGGGGTTCTGAAGGACAAGGAGGAGTTTGGCACTTCTGGGCAGACGCCTCCAGGAGAGACCATGAGAGAGGCCGGTCCTGGTGTGTTCCTCTGGGTGGGAGAGCCAGGGTTTCAGGGTGACCGTCCCCACCCCAAGTTCTGGGAGCTGCCGCCTACAGCCTGAAACACACAGAGTCTAGGACCTTCTGAATCAGGAGCTGCAGAGCTGGGCCCAGGAAGCTGTATCATCATTGCTGCTATTTCCACAGGTGCCTGGGGAGCCCCACTACCCACTGGAGCCCGAGGATCTGCTGTGAGTGTAGGGTGTGGGGGGAGTTGGGGGCGGACATGGCAGCAGCACACAGAGCTGGAAGTCTATCCCTCCACGTCCCATACTTGTCTACGGGCCTGCTCTGTGCCAGACCTGGACACCGGAGCTTGGGGGGACAAGACCCAGGCCACACCTTCTGTGAGATCAACCACGGGGCAGCCTTTCCTAAAGTGGGGTCCCAGGAACCCCATTTGCTCCTGGAAGAAACCTTTCTGGGTCAAGGCGGTTACAAAAACTCTACCTCTGGATACGTTCATGAGTCAGTAAAGGCTCTGACAAGTCCTGCAGTGGATAAAGCTGGTGTTTGGTGGGGTGCAGGGAGGCTCAGCAGGGGAGCGCTTGTGTGGAGGATCTGTGTAAGCAGCAGCCAGGTCAGGGCCCTATCCCCATTCCCTAGTTCCCTAGTGTGTCCCTACGCCCCCTGCGCCAGATGGGCAGGCCACATGGGGAAGGTGAGTGCTTCTGGGCACCTCAGACCTACCCCAGTCCCTGACCAGCAGCCAGGCCTGCTGCACTCAAGGGCGGTGAGTCTCAACCCAAGTATTTAACACAGGACTGTCCAGGCCACTGGGAGGACCTGCGGCGTGGGTCAGGGCCCTGGTCCTCCGTGAACCCAGCCCAGCCCAGCCCCTCCTCGGGGCACGGAACTCCCAGATCACCCCTTCATGGATTGGTACGGACATAAGGAAAGCCACTTCCCAGACATCCCCGGGGGGGCCTGTTGCTGCAGCCGAAGCCCAGGGGGATGTGGCAGAGGGGGGTGACCACCAGCCCTGGGGGCCTGGGCTCCTGATGGGACAGTGCAAGGGAGGGTCCAGAGAAGCCTGTGGCCAGACAGGCCAGGGACCAAGTCCTGACAGGCCATCACCCCTTAGACCATCTCTGGTAAGCACCTCACCCTCACAGAGATTCAGTTTCCCCATCTATCAATGGGTGATGACCACGAAGCCATCCTGGTCACCCTCACAGGCCTCCGTGTCATCCTTACCCTAAGTCCCTGGGGAGCTCCCTATCCTGTTTACAGAGGAGGAACCCAAGGCCCAGAGGTGTCAAGGCACTTGCCCGGGGCCACACCGCTTGTGAATGGGCCTCCTCCCCTCAGGGAGGCCCATTCCAGAGGCCACATGGCCAATCCCTGGGCTAACAGTTACTCATGGGGACGCTAGGAAAATCACCTGAGTCAAGGCACGGCAATAATAGGCGTTAGCACAGTCGTATGAGCTGAGACTCCCTGACCACATGCCGGTGCCTTGTTCACTTCCGATGTAATCTTCAAGGCAGCCCGGTGAGGCAGGGGGTCCCCCGCGGGTAATTGTGTTATTATCCCCACTTTTGTGGAAACTGAGGACCAGAGAGATGAAGTGACTTTCCTAAAGTCACTAGACGGCAGAGCCAGGACTCTCACCCAGGCAGGCCCTGGAGTCCATACCCTTAACAGTGCCATGTGACGGTCTCCAGAATTCCCCTGTACATAGTAGGTCCTTTTCATGTAAAATTCCCAGTGTCCAAACCACAGTGGGATGCTGCTTTTTGCTCACTGTAACGGCTCTCCTGAGAGGACAAGATGGTGACATCTGTTGATGAGGACATGGAGAAATCGGAAGCTCTGTGCACCACTGGTGGAGACTGCGAAAGCAGTCCGGCAGGTTGGACAGAGTCGCCGCGGGACCAGCAATTTCACCCCAGGTATGTGCCCGAGAGAAATAAAAGCTGAAATCACCAGAAACGTGTACATAGATTTCACAGCAGCATTATTCATGACAGCCAAAAAGCAGAAA